CGACCCATAGCCTGAGACCATCAGCTCCCAGAGCCTTTTGACGCAGAGATCCATCAGTAATCTATGAAATAAATCCATATATTTCATAAGAAATTATTGAAAAAGTAATAAAAAGCTAACAGTTTCTGGATCAACAACATTGCCAAGAGACTTCGACATCTTTTTATTATTGTCATCTACGCAGAATCCATGCACATGTATTCGTTTATATGGAATTGCGTCCTAAAGTAGAAAATGGGATAGGACAAACAAGTGGACCAAAATTGGTTGAATTTGCTTACCTGGGCAGCTACCGAGGTAAGAAGCAGCGATTGGAACCAACCTCGAAACTGATCAACGCCTTCGAGTACTCCATCAGCAGGTTCCTAATAATAAAAAAACTGCGAACAATGAGATTTCAGATCTTAGAATGAGATGCTTTACAATAAGGTTAGTCTTCACCAACTTCCTTTTTACTTTGCCATTTTTAAACCACTTCTTCCTCTTTATATGTGCCTCTCAAATGCACGCAAGGTCAGCTGTACCACCAAATGCAAGCTTCCCTTTTACACAATTTCAAGACAAAGTCATATGCAAAACAGTGGTCCCACGTGCCATACTTTCGTACTTTTACACAATACGATTTCTGAGAAACACGTTCTCATATCTGGATATTATAAAGCCGAAATCCAAGCCAGGAAGTCACCAGCAAAGTTCCTTTAATTGAAAGCATTAGTGCTTGCCGATGCCCAACCTTAAAGTGACAGCCTTTCTGCCGTCACAGAAGTCAAATTTAGCAGCTCACTTTTCGTAAGTCTATACTTTCATATGATGTTATAATCTTTTACCAGGGCATCCGCATCCTCGTACATTTTTCTAGCACAATGCCAAGCAACACCGCTATCCATCCAAACGTCCATGATATCTGTACTCTTCGATAAACCATCGGGCGAAACCATTGACAAGGATTTCAATACCTAGATATATATCACGTAACAGAACTCAGCAACTAAGTGATCCATGAGTTTCTC